AAAAAAAAAGGGGGGCGGGGAGCAGCTGAATAGACCCAAATGCATGGGACAGCATCCAAGCAGAAGAAACAACCAGCGCAACGGAGAGGGGTAGGGTCTGAGGGGGAGGCGACGGGGCAGGGCGTGCAGGGAGATAAGGGAGATAGGGAGATAAGATCCCTAGAAAGCTGTTCAAGAGCAGGGACTCCCGGGATTTGGTACTCACAGGCACCCTCTAGCGGTCGCATGGAGCGTAGGCAGCGCTCGGAGACCACAGCCCAGGCGACTGCACTAGTCCAGGGAGGGATGCTGGGGCTGGGCTGGGTGGGGGCCATGGACGGATATTATTATGAATTATGCCAAGTCCTGGGAAAGCAAAGGACAAGTAGCCAGGGGAGAAAAGGGTTGCTGGATCAGCCAGGGATGGTGCCGCAAGCTGAATGAACACTGAAGGAGGTGGGGTTGCCATCACTGGTGGGAAAAGCATTCCCAGGGTGACAGCATAGCCCAGGTAAAGGTTGCAGGTGGGAGAGGTATGGAAGTCTGAGGTATGCAAGGTATGCAAGTCTGAGGGGTGACGGGAGAGGCGAGCAAGCTTGTTTCACGGGGGCTACAGTGTTTTAAATCGCCATCTGGGCTTGGCCCTGTAGCACAGTGGTTATGGTGCCACACACATACACCAAGGCTGGCGGGTTCGAACCCGGCCCAGGCCATCTAAACAACGACAACTGCAATAAAATAAAGAAAGAAAGAAAGAAAGAAAGAAAAATAGCGGGGCAGCACCTGTGGCTCAGCTGGTGGGGCACTGGCTCCATATACCGAGGGTGGTAGGTTCAAACCCAGCCCTGGCCAAGCAAAAAATAGCTAGGTGTTGTGGCGGGCACCTGTAGTCTCAGCTACTTGGGAGTCTGAGGCAAGAGAATGGCCTAGGCCTAGGAGTTGGAGGTTGCTGTGAGCTGTGTGACGTCACAGCACTATACTTAGGGCGATAAAGTGAGACGCTGTATTTACAAAAAAAAAAAAAAA